CGGTACGTGGATTCAACGTTGATTCCACGTGGATTCGTGGAAATCTCGTGGACGTGGATACATCCACGGTATTTCAACCACCCTTGGCTTTGTTCTCTTGTTCACTTTTAAATGCAGAACGATAACTTATAACTAAAGGGAGATGGATAATTTCCCCTCTTGTGACATTCGTTCATTTGAACTCGAATTGGTGGATAACACGTGGATTCCACTTTTTTCCGCCACTATGCATCAGATATAAACCATAAAAAAAGTTATGATAAGCTAGTAGTTATTGCTAAATATGGTATATAATTGTACAGTTTTCTCGTAGAGATGCAGTTTGTTTAGTTTTTCACGTTTCATGAAATAACGTGGAAATAACGTGGAATCCACGTGATATCCACTTTACCGTCTATTGCGTTCAACGTTAAAAATAGCGTTCAAAGCTTTGTATAACCGAACAAATTTTTAAATTTTGTCAAGGAAGTACAATTATTAATTAAATTCAAGGCTATACTTCTGAACGTACAAACGCACAACGCCCTATAAGCCATAGAGCTGGCTGGGGTGCTGTGCGTGTGCTTTAGAAAGGGATCGGTAGCTGGAGTTCCTCTTCCAGCAGCGTCGCCGTAGGGTAATGGATAGCGTACAAGACTACAAACTCAAAGGTTCCAGGTTCAACTCCACTCAAGGTTGGAAAAAAAAGTTTTTCAATCGACGTGATTTCCACGTCGAAATATCGTGGATAAAGGAGTCAAATCCACGTGGATATCACGTGGATACTCGACGTTGAATCCACGTCACAAATCTACGTGGAATCCACGTTCCTTCCACCAAAATTCCTCTTTGGGACTTGTTCCAAGAAAACCGTATGGTTGAGATAACGATGAGAACCCCCCAGTTTTGCATGATTGATATAGTTATGACGACAGTATACAGTTACCTGAACCATCACATGGTTAGGAGGCTCTCAACCATAACTCTATGGTTGTGACAACTTTTCGTTTTTCTGGGTGCAGGCACAACGGGCTAATATTTTGCAACCAAAATTACAAACACTTCAAATAACAATTTAGATGCGAGATTATTAACATTTCAATAAACATTTAGAAGCCAGATGCGTAATTCGTTTCTTTGTGGTTGGTGGGGCGAGATACTAATTTCCCTTCGACATTAAGAGTGTATGTTTATGTGCACGGAAAAAAATAATTTAGCTGTCAGAGCTACATTTAAGTTCTGCCAGCTAATACGTCAGCTGGTAGCCGGACAGCAGACAGTATCAGCTGTGACAGCTAATTCTACAGCTACGGCGATCACTTTGGGGTTCTAACGGAACAGAGCCCTGTTGACTCCTATAGCTATTCATAGGTTATTCCCGACTAGTAACGTAAATTTGCTGCCACAGCTGACTCACTCTGCCGAGACAGCTGACACTTCGGCAGCAAAGTGTTTCAGCTACAAGAACAGGGGTTTGGTAACCGCTGCCGATACGGTTTGCACTTGGTGCCAATTTTGGGTTGGGTGTGGCGCCTTTTAAAAGTTCGTAGCGACTCCCGAATGTTAACGCCTTCGTAGATGGCGTGTGAGGTATTGACAGTGAAATTTGAAGTGTTTGGTGGTGGTATAAAGATTCGCAATGGCACACTTTTCTCATCATTGTGGTACGCGATTGTTTTTCCCGGTCGTCAGTCATGAGCAGCATACAGACCATTCTTTCGGAGTGGGGCCTCTCGGAAGCTGTTATCGACCACTTTGTCCGTAAGTGTTTATCACGTCACGACTTGTGCATGCTTGACGTTATGTACTTTTAATTTTAAAACATTATTTCTTCGATTCTTTGGTGGTTTTGCATCCGAGTTCAATTTAATACCAAATTGCATGGGAGATTAAATGTTTGCCGTGAAGTGTCAAGTCTTGCGTTAATATCTGGACTCTGCCTAATATTCATAGAGGTTATAAAGGTGTTCGTATCGATTTGGCTGCCCATGTGTGGTCGGCATTTCGAGATTTAATGGATAGCTTCGCAAGATTTGTCATAAAAGTTCAATTTTATTTATCCCTTTTTCGTTATTTATTTGTGGAATACTGGTTTAATGACACTACTTAGATGTCGCTGTGCTAAACTTGTATGTTGTGTGTCATGCCGTGTGTTACGCAAGGTTAGGTTCTAAATCCATTCGCTTTTATTTCCAGGAGAAGAAATTACTCCAGCTTCACTATGCATTCTACACTGTTAAAAGGTTTCGTCATTTAACGAAAAAAATCATGACGAATAGTATCGTATTTAAAAATGACAAATAATACTCGTTAACTGAGAAAACAAACAGCTCGTTGTCATAAAAACAAACTATTCGTGAAATGACAAACAAATCGTAAGAATAGGAATAGTTCGTTATATGAGTATAAGTGTAAGAAAACAAATACCCACAGTTAAAAGTATACTTATTTATGTTATTTTAATAGCATATAATTCTAAGGAATGCACTTTCAGTTTAGTTGTTTTCATTTCCACTGTATGTGCACACTGTGACAGGGAATCGGCTTTAATAGTTAGGCCTCCTCCATAAACCAGGGGAGTTTTGAAATGTCACATAATTTTTGTCCCGAAGGAAAATAGTGATGGAACCAGATATATTCACTAACCTCTCATAAATCCTTCAATCTATGATTCCTTCACAGTAATGCTTAGACATCAACGGATGCTAGATTGGTCCTCCTCCGTAGCTTGAATCAGAGTTTCGTTTTGTTTCACCAACACTACATTAAGGGTTAGGAGACAGACGGTTCTGCCTTCGCGACAGCACTTCACTCCAAAATAACCAGACTAACATCTTCAGAAATGAATGGTTTAGATTCATTTCTGCATTGCTACATTTCCTACATGTTGTTACAGTGCTGAAATTAAAGTAATCTTCTGATACTTAAAGCACTGGAAGAGCACTTCACAGAATCGGTAACGCCATTTTTGGACAACTAAACACCAATACCATCATAACATGCGGATTTCGGTTCAAAGAAAACAAACTTCAAATAGTTCCTTTCTCTTTATTCAACATCACATTCTTCCGACCCATCGAAGGCGGTGTGTGTATTCGCAGCAACCACAGAACCCTGTTGAATAGACCTCCACTTTCTGCTGCTGGCGAAAACAAGCGCAAGGCAAGCAGTATAATTCAGGCCAGGATGTAGGATTTTCTGTTTCCAGTTTGCCATTGTGGGCCTCATGATTCTTCATTTTGTGAGTGTAAGTCTATTCCGCTTGGAATTTGCTTTCGTTATCTGCATCCTCTTACACTCGCTTTGCCGATAACGACATATCTGTGTGGTGTTGTTTTCATTTAACCTCGTCTGTTTTAGTGTGGTTTGCGATCTTCTCTATCATTTTATTTTATCTAGTCACGGCTTGCGATTTCGTTTACGATAAGTAAACTTGGCCTATCACCTGTTGGCCTCTTTGTTTTTGTTTCGCACGGACCTTTTAACCTGACTTGATTTGTTTATATCAAAATTGCACCTACAATTTTTTGTTGTTGTCTTCACAACACCTTTGTGTTCTATGTCTAGTTTTTCTTGCTTTGAATGCATAAACATAGTTTAATTTGGCTATGTCTCTCTCTTTTTGCATTGGTGCTTCTTTGTAGATACTAAATACGTGGCCATTGAGACTAATAGATTAATGTGGTTTCAGGTACGCTATTTGGGACTGGAGGGAGGGCTCCAAGACTGCTCCATGCCATTCAAACTTGTGGAGAAATTTCAAGACAACGTCCTCCTGCATCAGCATCGTTCAATGTGATTATTGAGAACTGGAGTTGCAGTATTACACTTGTGTAATATGAGCCCAGCACTTGCTTCATAGAAATGGATTTTAAATGTAAAGTATATCATTCGAAAGTGAAGATATTTATTTCTGTGTGGTTAAAGTGTCTTATTTGTTGTGTTTCTGGTTGTTTTTCAGGTCACCCGTCATATCGAAACCTTTGAAGCAGTTGTGGGCGCGTGGGACCTCCTCTGGCTTTGGTGAAGATTTTAATGGCGACTCTAAGGTGAAGTTATATTATCTATTGTTGTGAAAGATAAGCCTTGTATCGACTTCAACATATTGTTTTAATTTTTATTTCTTACATCCAGGGAAGCAGTTAACTTTTCAAAACCAAAACTACAAGTGTGTAAAGAGGACAAGTGCAGTAATTATTGTTCTGTCAATGTATTTGTAACTCAAACTTCAAACCAAAATTGTGGATACTGTTGGTAGTTAGATGTAAATGGTAAAAAATGTTTTAAGGGAAAGTTTGATGAATCTTAATTTAAGCCATGGGTAGGGCTATCATATATTTAGGGGTCAAATGTAATCATTAATGGTTTGTCAGGCAAAGATAGGTAAAATTGTCTCTCAAATTTTACTGTAAGTAATTAGAATTGTAAATTTGACTTTGATTGTGTTAGACTGTGATTGAAAATGTTTTGTCTTTAATCAATTGTGTTACTTCAAATATTTCATTTGTTTCTTATCTGATTTTCATAGCAAGGGGATTAAAGAGATAGACGTAATTCCTACCTGTTCAGCTGCCAAACAGGCTTCAGGTGCATCACAGCCTGCTTTGTAGCCTTTCTAGCTAATATTCTTGGAAATAGAGTTGCGAATGGGAACAGGTTTTAAGCAAAGAGGGAGAGAGAAACTAATCAACCAAGCCCACTAAATATTTTATGTTACGATTTTGATTTCATACATGGCAACCTCTTTTGAATTAACTTGATTATATTCATGAAAAACAATTAACCTATTTGTACAAGATTTAAATTTAATTAATCTAGTGGACTTGATTCATTGCTTTAACACCTCTGTTGTTCAAAACACCTTCCACCCAAGAAAATGTGGCCTTATATATGTTCCAAGATTAGTAGCTGGGACGCTCCAAGGCATTGAAGGAAGGGGCACCCTTTAACTACTTTCTGTAGCTTGTCTTAACTCTAATTGTCTGCAGAAGTGTGTCATTCAGTTTGTATTGTGTTAATTCAACCTTCTTGTTTTAAATTGGTTTTTGAGATTATGAAATAAAATCTCAGTTGCTTAGAACATATATTTCTTTTCCACCAATATAGAACATTTTTTAACTAATCCATATGTGTAGAGGGCAAAATATTTCTGGTAAAGTAGCTTGTTCTGTTTTGTACATTCACTAAAAAAGCAACAAGTGGGAGGGAAATACTAGTTGAAAGCTGGAAGGAGAAGAACAGTAGAAATCAAAATGAGCAATTTGATTTAAGTAATTTACTGACTTCAGTAGAAAACATCTTAAGGTTTAGATTCATTGCCTCATATGTTTTAACAGGTGAATATACAGGTTCATTCTGGAGTGTAAAGAGACAAGATAAAAAGTATACACTCATAAATAGAAGCCTACAGTTAAATTAGATGATTTTTTTTTCTTCATAGATTGAGGTCAAGGAGTTACGATATTACTGGTCTTTAAGAAAGGTCAGTGCTCGGTGAAATACAGGAAAATTTGTGATTAGAAATAATTCAATGGACACTCAAGTCTCAATGTTTAAAGACACATTGAAAGAAAATACTATGAAAAAGAAATTTGGCTAAGAAATAGTTATACACAACAGCTCTATTAGTTTCATTAGAAATTTTGTATGCTCTGATTCAGCGTGTTGATTGTGTGAAAACGTTGATAATTGTTACAAGAGAACAAAGAATATGAATTTCATTAGTAATTAGGGTGAAGTCATTTGGACCCGATTACAAATATGTCTTAAAAACTAGATGGAAAAATAATAACTTAAATCGGCATAAAAGAACTCATTGTGTTCATTCCTATCACACAATCTCTGTACTTCTTTGGCGTTGTGCGAATAGCGCTTTGGTCTTTGACTGCACAATTGGTGCACATTATTTTATTTCACCTATTCGCACCACTTGTGCGAATATCCACTATCAGTTTTTCGCAGCATTTAACTACACAACTGAACATAGCTTGCACTTTTAAGGTGAGAACGAGAATCGGGCTATGTTTAATTCAGTAGTAAAATGCTGTGCGCTGTAGGATTGAGGGAGGGAGGGGGAGACTGATAGATTCATAGTTCCAGTTACTTTTGTTTTATTCACGTTAGGCGATGTTATTAGATTGGTGGGTGAGGTAGGATACTTTTACACACTGATTGAACTTCAAGCACTCCTTAAACCCACCGCCACCAAATTGATTTAAAAGAAACCGAGCTTTTCAGG